TTCTTGAAAATTCTATACATTCCACAAGTTTTATCTGTAACTAATAGAAACAAAATTGAAAATGTGGTTTTATTTGCCTGAACAGTTGCTACAGGCATCCTGAAATAAGTAAAAGTATGTAACACAATAATTTTGTAGTATATTCATTTCTGAAAAAGAATAAATATAAAAAGGACAAGCAAGGTTACATTCATATCGAGTTGGTTAAAACTACATTTTGTAGTCAGTCATAGCCCTTGAAAAAAATGACATAACTCCAACATGGTTGTTTCTTGCTAATTCACTTTTTGCTCAATTGTAAATGAATGTGGAAAGGTTATTTAGAAGGACAAAATAAAGGTTAAACATTCTTGACAAGCAAGGCATCAGTACTTTCTGACCATATAACTGAAAACATAATAAACTGTAATGCTGTAGCTAACCTATTTTGTGACGTGAGGACAGGACTGTAACCACTTATTGGGAGGCGGGATTTAGGGAGTGAATGGACCGGCGGTAGAATTCACCACAAGGCAGCGGCATCTGTGTAAAGGGATCACGGCAGGAGATTAGAGCCGACAACTAGAAGCCCTTTGCAGGGCAACAAGTGACTGGTAAGGAAAAAATAGAAAACGGTCCAGGCACTCCAGGATACAAAAAGCCAACTTTATTGAACCCACTGCCACTGACAACATTTTGACCTGCGCAGTCTTTGTCAAGCTTGTTGAGCTTTGTCGATCTTGACAAAGACCGTGCAGTTCGAAACATTGTGAGTGGCAGTGGGTTCAATAAATTTGCGGCAGCTTGCTAACAATGAAAAAAGGTCCAGAAAATCCCAGCTAAAAGCAAGTATAAGCACTAAGCTTCTAAGTGTTTAAAACTGGAAAATCTGAAAAAAAATAAAATAACAACAGCTGATAACTTGTATATAACTGGTATATATGTCATAAATAATCTGCTCTGGGTGTTGAGGAGAGGAGAGAGAAACAAAGATGAAGTTGATTTGATATGATCCCTACAGGGAAATATATGACAGCGTAAAATGAACTACTCACAAAAAGCCTCTAAAATCATCCCCGTTTTTATTATATGCTACAATATCATCTAATAGCATACAACAGTACAAAGTGCCCATAAGTACAAGGTGAGTAAAGAAAAGAAAGAAGGGAGAGGAAAGATAAAATATAAAGAAAGGTAAAAGGGGAAAGAAACAGAATCTCAAGATTTAAAACAAAAAGAGAAAACAAATAATACATCCTTATTTCCAAGGTAAACAGAGTGCAGCCCACATATAATCCCCCCTCTATAAGGGAATTTATGATTCAAAAAATAAATAAAAATAAAATGTCAGAGAGGACCTTATACAGGTCAGAAGAAAAATCTCGGAACTGGAAACCAAACAAGCAGTATTAGTATCAGCATCAGAGTCTGCACCAACCCTATTAAAACTTGAGGAAAATATAAGAAATTATAAAACGGACCTGATAAGGTTCAAGAGAGAAAAACAAGAGAAGGTAACATCTGACTACAAGGAGCATCGTGTGTATAGATGGCTCAGTGGCAGGAATGATCTACCATATTTTATAAAGAAACAGAGACCCATTAGGAAACCCAAACAATATACCATTGACAAAACCTCAGGTGAATCTACTTCTGAATCAGACTACTCTCAGGAGTTACACTCTACACGACAACCAGGAGGTGCAACAGGTTAATCACAACCTTTTTTAGAGATGGCATTACCAGAAGAACCAGGAATACGGACACGTTATCAGAGCAGACACGGAGTGGCAGGCGGAGATACATCACGAGACGTGGACAGAAGGGCCGTACCTTTTGGGGCAAGAGGCAGACCACCCCGTCAACAGAGATAGTCCCTATCTTTAATTTGTCATCTAGAACCATATCAGCGGACGACATGTGCCTGTTAAGTAAAGGATTGTCCTTTGTCTCTACTTCTAGACCCAATCCTTTGGATTGGGAAGTGGAACTTTATAAATTTGGCCGTTCATTGAGACTAACATAATTTTTTAAGTCTAAAACCCCTGACAGCTCTATTACAACTCATCAATTTAAGAAAAAGAGTACATTCAATCCTATGCCAAATCAGGCCTCCATTAAGACCTTTTTACGTTCAGTGCAGAGTCTGCTGATCATTTGAAAGAAAATCATCCACATCATTCCAACTGTACCCGCAAAGATCGGGCTATTATTAAGTCATTAGCAAATGATAAGGACATTGTTATCAGACCAGCCGACAAGGGTGGGGGCATTGTTATTCAGAACTATTCTGATTATCGTTCTGAAATTCTGACACAACTTTCTGATCAGCATACTTATAAGAAATTGCAAACTGATCCAACAGAGCAAGTGATTTGTCATATTGAAAATTGTTTGTTGCGAAGATTACATTCCAATTACATCTCTATGGAATTATACTCTTATTTACAAGTAACTACACCGAGAACTCCAGTGATCTATACATTGCCCAAGGTTCATAAAAACAAAGAAAAACCTCTGGGGCGCCCTATTGTATCAGCAATAGGGGGTGTATTGGAACCACTAGCAAAATGGTTGGACCATTTGTCTAAAGATCCTATTGAGCATCTTCCTACATGCATTAAAGATACGCCGAGTTTCATTAAGCAATTGTCTGAAATAACATTACCTCCTGAACCAGTAGTCCTGGTGACCTGTGATGTAAAAAGCCTGTATACGGTAATACCTCACCAGGACGGGATACAGGCAATGAGATCGATATTGGCCATGTCTACTCACTATTCAGGCCCTCCAATAGAATTTACGTTGGAGCTATTGGAAATCGTGCTCTCTCAGAATTACTTCAGATTTGAATCCGATTGGTATAGACAGATTGCAGGGACATCCATGGGTGCAGCTATGGTACCCATGTATGCGAATGGGTATATGTTCAGCTTTGAGACAAAGTATATTCTGGAACCTTATGGTTATCGTATCTTGATGTATCTTCGATACATCGATGACATTTTCATGTTAATAAAGGAGAATGCATCTGAAGTAGAAGAAATGATTGGGTTCATCAATCGGTGTACTACTAACATAGAATTGACAGCAGTGATCGATTCATCTTCGATGGATTTCCTGGACGTCAGGATATTACGTGAAGGCTTGGGTTTGGCATACACTTTATATTCCAAGCCTACTGACCGCAATACATTATTACAGGCAGATAGCTTTCATCCTCATTCACTCAAACATTCTCTGCCTTATTCCCAATTCTTGCGGGTCTTCAGGAATAACTCCGGTCCCAAAAAAGCTCAAGAACAAATTGGCATGATGTGGGACAAGTTCCGCAAACGCGGATACAGCAGTGTTGTGTTACAGAAAGCTCTCAATAGATGCCTTGTAACAACAGATATCTCTACTCCTACTGTACAATCTAATAGACTAATTTTCCCGACAACATACACCACAGCCTCGTCTAGATTTAAAGATATCATCCTAGACAATTGGAGAGTGTTGAAAAATGATGTTACCCTACCATCTATCTTTCAAGAACCACCTATGTTTTGCTATAAAAGAAATAAGAACTTGAGGGATCTACTAGTAAAAACAGACCCTACACATTGTTACTTGAAGGACAGAATGACACAAAATATGGGTTGTTATCGCTGCTTAGGATGTGTCACCTGTGGACACATGATTCCAGGAAAAACATTTACTCATCCACATATGGGTTTGAGTTTTCGGATACAACATCGTTTAACATGTACTAGTGATTTTGTGGTCTACAAGTTGATGTGTCCATGTGGCCTTGCCTATATTGGTAAAACTGATTAACCGTTGAGAGAACGTATTCAGAACCATAGGTCAAGCATTAGAACGGCTTACAGGGACAATAAATCTGAATTACCAGTAGCCAAACACTTTCTTGAACTGGGACACACTTCCGTCCATGAAATTCATGGCCATTGATCATGTTCCCTTACCTAGAAGGGGCGGTGACCGGAAAAAGATGCTTTTACAGAGGGAACTATATTGGATAAGGACATTACAAACTGTTCACCCAGATGGACTAAATGAGAAATATTCATTGTCTGTTTTTTTATAAATTCAGTGGATACGGGGGTTATATTCTACCTGATATATACTGTAGTGGGAGATTGGTGCCTACCTGCAAGGTTTAAGTCACTATCTCTTTGACTTAGATAGATGATGGTTCATAGGTTTCATTGGAGGTACTTATTGGTTCGCATTTGGGTATATATTTTTATCATATTGAGGGGGGAATTTTGGTGCTTACCCTTTAGAGGTTATACCATAATCCCGCAATCCCGCTATGATGCCATATCCAATGTGAGATTCATTTACTCCAGTAACCCTTAGGTCCACTAAGTGTACCATTATGACACTGAATGTGACTGTTGTTAACTATAATGCGGACTGTTGATTAGACCTCTGGTGTGTTTTGGCACCACATTGTATATGGTATATTGTCTGTGCAATATGTTCTTGGGAGATGTTATATAGTTGGTGAATTATGCCCACCCTGGGGGATAGGCATTTACCTCTATTGCCTCATTGAGTATGATATTTAGGATCTGTTATTGTTTGTTGTGGACTTTCTATCGACTTAGTCCTAGTCTTTGCTGATTTAAGACAATTTGTGGTGTTTAGCAGTGATTCTGCTTTCAAGGCTATTGCACTTATGTATTCCTTTTCCAAGCCCAATATTATCTGCAAGTTTTTTATTTTTATTTATTTTTTGAATCATAAATTCCCTTATAGAGGGGGGATTATATGTGGGCTGCACTCTGTTTACCTTGGAAATAAGGATGTATTATTTATATTGCTATTTTCTTTATTTTTCTTTATTTTTTATTTATAATGTTGGTTCATTAATATGATATGTCTACTATAGTACATTCCTTATTGGTTAGCTCTATTTGGGCTTTATTTTGCCATGTTCTTATACTTCCAGCCAAGGGGTTAATATAATTTGTTTTTAGGTTGCTATGCATCATCATAGCAACGAACTCCCAATGAGGCCGTTTCATGGCCGAGTTCGTGACGTGGTAATGACGCTGAAGCAACGTGATGACGTCATGTACGCACACGCTGACGTCGGCCGGAACCCGCGCGATTGTCGGACCGGGCTGACAGGGAGCTGTAGTCTATTCCGGTGGTGGGTAAGTTAATTGCATCTTTTATTTTTGGTATATATGTGTATTCTTGTATTATGGTTGAAAGTGTGTATAACATACTGAAACGTTGATTTTTTTATAAAGAAGATTAAAAGCTAAGTTTTATATCTATCTAAGTCCTGGGAGTGCTATCTTGTTTATCTATCTTTGTACTTTTGCATGATAAGCACCGGGCAAGTATATTTCAATTTTCATGGAGTGCAAGATTATTTTTTCTTTTTATATATATATATATATATATATATATATTAATTCTACATATATATTTATGTAATATTTTTACATAATTAGGTATCTTAATTAATTACAATTAGTGGGACCTGCCTGACAACCCATGCTGAAAGTAAAGGGAATTTAATTTGCTAGCACTATATTTAACCCTATAACTTTCCAAGACACCATAAAACCTGTACATGGGGGGTACTGTTCTACTCGAGAGATTTCGCTGAACACAAATATTAGTGTTTCAAAACAGTAAAATGTATTACAACGATGATATCGCCAGTAAAAGTGAAATTTTTTGCATTTTTCACGCACAACCAGCACTTACACAGACGATATTATTGCGATACTTTTTACTGTTTTGAAACACAAATATTTGTGTTCAGCGAAGTCTCCCGAGTACCCCTCATGTACAGGTTTGATGGAATTTTCAAAAGTTACAGCTTCAAATATAAGGCTTGTGTTTAATTTTGTTCACATTAAAATTCGCCAGATTGGTTACATTGCCTTTGAGACCCTATGGTTGCCCAAGAATGAAACTTATCCCTATGATGGCAAACCATTTGCAATAGTAGACAACCCAAGGTATTATAAAAGGGGTATGTCCAGTCTTTTTTAGTAGCCACTTAGTCACAAACACTGGCCAAAATTGGCGTGTTTTGCATTTTTCACACACATACAAATACTAACGCTAACTTTGGCCAGTGTTTGTGACCAAATGGCTACTAAAAAAGACTGGACATACCCCATTTGCAATACCTTGGGTTGTCTACTATTGCAAATGGTATGCCATTATGGATGTACATTTAATTCCTGGGCTACTGTAAAGTACCAAAGGCAACGTAACCAATCCGGCGAATTTCAATTTCAAATGTAACATACTATATTTGACCCTGTAACTTCCCAAAACGCCATAAAACCTGTACATAGGGGTTACTGTTTTACACGTGAGACATCGCTGAATACAAATATGTGTATTTTATTGCAGTAAAAGCAAACAGTATTATGGCATTGACAGTTAAAATGTCATGTAGAACTAAACATTTTTTAAAAAAAATCTTATTTTCTCCCTATTTTTTCATATTAAATTATGTTTCATAGCTAATTATTTGATATTAAATGAAAGCCCTGTTTCCCCTGAATAAAATGATATACAATAAGGATGGGTGCATTTAATATGAAAGAGGTGAATTACGGTTGGACAGGCATGTAGCGCAAATGCCAGGTTTTGTTTACATTTTGTTTTGTTCACAACGTGTACATTTGGCTGTGTCCTTAAGGGGTTAAAAAACAAACACATTTCCCTTGATACAGTCCATACACACTGTAACGCCACCCTCAGCATAAAAGGGTTAAACCGCCGTTTAGTAGGTCTTCCCTTCCAGAGACACAGGCACAGCTACTGCAGAACACCAATCCGCCGAACCGCATGTAAGGGAATGCTCCAAAAACGCCCGAACTGCATACAATATAGCACTCCAAACTCCCGAACTGGAACCATACAAATAGCTGCTAGCAGACGAATAGGAAAAAACACCCAAGTGGCTTACACTCCTAGCAATCAGTCTCTATCAGCATACAGTAAATCCCCCCAAAGACGAGACAAGGCTCCGTGTTGAGGGTCAAGCAATGGTCAGACAGAGCTGTGAGTTTATTGTTCTTATATACACATTAGTACCACCCACAGGGTTTTGGAACACAACCAATAAACACATACAATACACTCAGACACTCCCACACAAAATCCTCCCCTCTGCCTGTTATACAATTACCTTGCACAATGGGTAATGTAATTATCACAAACAGAGAAATACAATTTTTCCACATTATTCAAAACTTGAAAAGTATGCATCACATTCACAAAAACTTACATTTTCAGAATCAGCATACTCCAAATACAAACATATGTCAAAATCATCCAAATTGGTCCAGCGGTTCAAAAGATAGATCGTAGTCCTTTGTGACCAAATGAAGCATGGCTTTTCTGCCCAAAACCAGTTCCACAGAGTCTTCTATCCTGCAAAAGACAGTAAAATACAATAAACTATATCCAAGGGAGTGCTCCTGATTGATTACATTTTTATATATATATATATATATATATATATATATATGCAGCTGCGGGCCCCCGGCTCCATGTTACTACAGAGGGGAACCAGCACACTGCTTCTGCACATTCAGCTTGTCTCTCCCAATAACTCTCGCGAGACTCACGGCCTTCACAACGTCGCCACGGGTTACCATGGCAACACTCCGCGCCACATGCTCGCGAGAGTTAATGGGAGAGAGGAGCTGAATATGCAGAAGCTGTGTGCTGGGCCCCCTCTGCAGTAACAGGGAGCCGGGGGCCCCACCATGCCACCAGACCACCAGGGAATGGAATCTACCCCCTCCCTGGACACAGGTAAAAAGCAGGGAGGGGGAAATAACATTTAATATAAACTTGTTGTTAAATTAATGTAAAAATGCCCCCCCGCCCCCTTTGCAGGACACACACACTACATACACTACACTGACACACACACATTGCATACACTAATACAACACACACACTACATGCACTACACTGACACACACACATTGCATACACTAATACAACACACACACTACATACACTACACTGACACACACTGCATACACTAATACAACACACACACTGCATACACTACACTGACACGCACACTGCATACACTACACTGAAACGCACACTGCATACACTAATACAACACACACACTGCATACACTACACTGACACGCACACTGCATACACTAATACAACACACACACTGCATCCACTACACTGACACACACACACTGAATACACTAATACAACACACACACTGCATACACTACACTGACATACTTTGCATTCACTACACTGACACAAAGTCTGCACTCAAAATACACACAGCATCCACATACACATACATTCTGCATTCACTATAATCACACTACATTCAAACACTCTGCATTAATTATACACAGACACTGCATCTAACACACACACACTGCATCCACTACAGACACTGCATACACTACACTGACACACACTCTGCATACACTACACTGACACACACTCTGCATACACTACCCTAACACACACTCGGCATTCACTTCACTGACACAGACACTACACAGTTTGCACTCACTATACACACATCATCCACTACACACACATTCTTCATTCACTATACTCATACAACATCCACCACACATTCAAACACTGTACATTCATTATACACAGACACTGCATCTAACACACATACACTACATCCACTACACAGACACTGCATACACTAGTACAACACACACTCTGCATACACTTCACTGACACACACTTCACCGACATACACTCTGCATACACTACCCTGACACACACTCTGCATACAACACACACATACACTTCACTGACACACACTTCACCGACATACACTCTGCATACACTACCCTGACACACACTCTGCATACACTACCCTGACACACACTCTGCATCCACTACCCTAACACACACTCTGCATTCACTATATTGACACACACTCTGCACTCACTATACACACAGCATCCACTACACACACATTCTGCATTCACTATACTCACACTATATCCACCACACATTTAAACACTCTGCATTCATTACACAGGCACTGCATCTAATACACACACACTACATCCACTACACCAACACACTCTATATTCACTGTACACACACTACATCCAGTGCACAAACGCACACTACATCCACTACACAAACACACTCTGTATTCACTATACACACACTACATACACTACACAAACACACACACTGCATCTAATGCATACAAACACTACACGCATTACACAAATGTAAAATCTGCATCCACTATACACACTGCATTCATTATACACTCACTCTGCATCCATTACACGCATTCTAATTCTACATCCACTAAACACACACCACATTCAGTCCTGCATCCTTGTGGACGGACTCAGAAATATGTGGGCGGAGTCGGGGTGGGCCCCAGGGGCCCAGACCTTGAGCTTTGTTAGGGGCCCCAAAATTTCTGAATGCAGCCCTGCTGATTGCTCCCGCCGCCCGTTTTCCGTTATAACGGTTCAGGACCATCACCGGTCCTCAATGGTATGTTACAGATGACGGTCCTGAACCGTCATCGGTCCTCACAGGGTTAAAATAAATTCCAGTTTAATTTACTAACATATTTAGTCTTGTTAATGGAACAATTTCTTACTCATCATTAAACTACAAACAAAAATATGTTGCTTCTACCAAGAGTTTCAAAAAGCATTTTGATTTAAGTTGTTATATATCCTCTTCTCTGCAGAAAAAAAGTTTAATTTAACACGGGCCAATTGAAACCAGAGCCCTCTGGCATCATTGTTTTCTATCACAAAATTAACTGAGAAGAAAATAGTTCTGTATAGTATTTCCAAAGTGATGTTTATCCAAGAAATGGGAAATGCAGTGTTCATTTTTTAAATAAAAATGCAGTATATCACAAACTGCAGTCACACAAAAACCCATTGTGTCAGGAACATAAGTGAAAATATAGTTTTTTTAAATCTACTGCAAAATAAACCTTTATTACAAAAAGTCTTAAGTCTATTCATATAGATGAGTCGTAATTATTTATTTCTGACCAGAGAATTCTAAAGAAATAACTTCTAATAAAAAAGACCCAATTATTCATTAGTGACTGTAATAAATATGTACAGTATATGTAAGGGTGATTAAAATAAGTATTTTTATGTATATACCTTCTTCTTTAAATGACTAAATGGAATATCTTTCTATATAACCCAAAAATATTAAAGCACAATCTGATATTCTGTAGGAGAAAATATAAATTGTTTCTACTAACAATTCAAACAGCAACACATGCATACAAATTTAACAAATGGTACAACTTAATTATGTTACAGAGGAAAGATATATTTGATGGAGAGTGAGCAAATGTGTCCAGAAAGCCAGGAGAACAGGCAATTGTTCTTTGTATACTGTTATTTTTATAGATATGACTATAATTATGTCAGAACTTTTTTAGCTAAACCTCTATAAGGACACATTTAAGACCCTCAATCCTCTTACAAAACCATGCACCCACATTCTAGACTTCTCATGGTACCGTATAGCAAATTACCATCTGTACTTTTTAACCCATTAGACATCCATACCTAATATGTATATGAATAGAAACATAGACCAATTAATATTCTACAGCAGCGTTTCCCAATTGGTGTTCCACAGACCCTTAGCCTAGCCAAAACCTAGCCTAAATACAAAGAAAAGCATTCTATTAAATTTCACATCAAAAGTAATACTGCTTCTATTCTGCAACTAGAGTTTAGAGTTATGGAAATCATATGGACAACATTCAACAGTCTAATTGTAGTAGTAGTGCTTGAATTCCACCAGTAGGGGCTGTAAGGTTATTCAGTCAAAGTTTATTAGCTTTCATTTCGAAGTTGTAGTTATGAGTTTTAATCTACAGAGGTCACAGGAGTGGTAGTTATAAACTTTCATCAGCAGAATTCACAGGAGTGCAAACATCTGCACATAGACTGATTCAGGGGAAGGAAACATTTAGCACTCAAGATGTTGTGGACTACATTTCCCCCTGATTCTTTAACAGCATTATGGCTGAAGAGTATTATGGGAGATGTAGTCCACAATATCCAGAATGGCCAACTAGCCTCCTTTTATAGCCCCAATTACTCAACAGTTTATGCACTTAACCCCTTAAGGACACATGACATGTGTGACATGTCACGATTCCCTTTTATTCCAGACGTTTGGTCCTTTATTGGGTTAAACAAGAGTCCTGCATGTTTTTAATGCTGGTTCACTTTATTTGACTTTAGCTACTTAGGGAGACAGGTCAGCAGACAGAGATTGCCTGTTTTTACTCTCACTTTGCCTGTATGGAAGTAGGATTGCCAGATAATCATATATATGCAAGAGGTAGGTTACCCCAAACTACCTCTAGCTTATGTAGATAACTAGTTAACACCTAGGCGTGGGGTTTGTTTTACTAGTTGTAATACTTTATGCAAAATGTATGCATTTTTATGAATGTGAATATTGTTTGTGTTAATTATTTTTGTATTCTTGATTTATTGATATTTATATTGTGAAATAGTACTTACTAAACATAGCCCTATTAAACATACGAGTACTTTGGTTATTTTGTGTATTTCTTGATATCCAGCCCATTTAGGGAAAGGGGTCTTACTATTCTATTCCATTAAACACCCTTAAATGACTTCAAATAAATTCATGATATTGCTTGAACCCATATTTGTGTTATGCTTCTTTTATTGTGATTTTGTGTAGGTATCAGAAACTGGCTCCTACACTCACCTACATCGCACTCCCATGCTGCACTTCTCTCTCACTGCACAAGGATGCCGTGTTGGAATGCGACCCCGTCCAGACAGTCCCTCACGTTCATACAAACACCACCTCTGTTTGTGCGAAAGCCACTTACCGATCATGGCAACACTGGAGGCAGAACTCTGTTCATACCAACGCCACCTCTGTTCATGTGAATGCCGCTTGCCACACAGGAGACAGAACTCTGTTCGCACGAACACCGCCGCTTCCCACACATGACCACACAGGAGACAGAGAATCAAAGGGCACGCACGGAAAAGCAAAACCTTTTAAAGGTACAGGAGGTGGAAACCAGGGAGGAGTTACAATAAACAAGACCACCCACTCTCCCTATTTATACCACACACCCTTGACTCCTCGCTGAGTTGTACTGTGCTCCTGATCATGTAAAGACCTTCAGTGACTATCCTGTGGTATCCTAATTTTGAACCTTGCCTGTACCATTGCTTCTGAACCTGAGCCACCTGTCCTGATCTTTTAGCTTCCCTGACTACTCTCTTCGTCTGGTCCTTTTGTACTGTAAACTTAGTCAATTGCCTTCAGTGCTCCTCTGCATCTTGGGCTCTGTATACTAAACAGTGAACCCGACAGTATGTTAATGATGTGTCTATTGGCACAGTGCCACTTTCAGAAAATTTTATTTGGACATAGATGTTTCCTGTTTAATAATATAATTGTTGATTCTAGTGTGAGACTGCTGATTATAGGTTGCTGCTTTGCCTAGTCAGTGCCACTTGTAGCAAGTTTGATTCACTTATTTAGATTTTGACAGCTCTTTCTTGTTAACTATTTGTAGAAATAAATTCATTTTCTTTGATAGTGTTGGTCAGTAAAAAAAATAAAAAAAAATAAACAGGTTCTACTTGCCTAGATATTGCCATTTACACAAACTTTAAATGGGAGATAGATTGGCTAGCGCGTTCTGCTGGCTATTGGTTTGTCAGCTGATGATAGACAGCATTAAATTAGGAGTTGATGGCATAAATGAGTCCAAAAATGTAAAGTAGTGCTTTTGTCAGTTATCATTGCACAAGGTATTCCATGGAGATGATGGATTTCTTGAAGGAATATAGAGACTGTTATATCTGCAAGCACAGTAGAAGCAATAACATCTTGGTGAATCTATGACCAATATCATGGTGTTGTGTTTGTGTTGCAGAAGCAGATCAACAATGAAATCCATTGTGATGTCTATCCATGAACTTGAGGGAATGAACAAAGTATTGGACCTGGTGAAAGTGTTGCAGGAGAAAATGTATTTCCTGGTATCTTGGACGAGGGTAGGTGACAAAAAGTAACTGTGGTTGCTTTTTCCAGTTCTTGTGATACTTCCATGGCCTGCAGCTCGGAATGTGCAGGATATTGTGCCAGATAGAGGGTGGTACATAGACTAAAGATATGTGCAACCAGGTGAAATTATGTAACCTAAGAAGTCTACGGAATGTGTGTTGAATGTGCAATTTTTCAGTTGGTGTACAATCATGTTCTTATGCAGGCATTGTAATACTGTATTTACAGGTTCAATGTGTTTAACCAAAGAGGTAGAGAAAACAAGGATTTCATTTAGCTATATGAACAAAAAGATGACCACTAGATCCCAAAATGTGTAGTTGAAAAAGTTTTGGAATGTAGCTGATGCATTGCATAAGCCAAAGGACATGACTAAATACTCAAAATGTACATGGCACATCCTGAATGCCTTCTTCCATTCATCTCTTTTGCATATGCAGATGAGATTATAAACTCCCAGAGGTCTATTTTGAAAATTGGAAGTGCTACTAAGATGATGAGAACTGTCTTGATGGGTGTTCCATTAACCATGTACAGCAACAGTGAAAAGGACTTCTTTTTAGTAAGGATGGACAATATCTGTACAAGAGCTTAATCTATGAAACATCCACTGACTCCAGTGGCTGTGGTAGCTGGAGATACAAACAGGTATAAGGATATGGAGACAGCAGCTGCATTCCAGGAAAGGTGGACAATGGTTCTCTTACCAGGAAAAGATTGGGGAAATTGGGAAATTCCTACATAGATGATCGGGTTAACCACAACATATATAGGAAGAGCTCCTGAGAGTGATGTCTCTTTAGCAAGTTAAGAGGTAACAGACTAAGTCTTTCTGCATTGGTTCTTCAGGGGCACCATTACACCAGGAGTCACAGCAAGCTGTAAAACAACCCAGCAACTTCTGGGACACACACTGGAGCTCCATACAGTCACCTTCAGGTGATGACTATAAATTAAGTCCTGTAACCAAATATCTTGGATATTTCATGTACTCTTCTACTCTGGAGTTCTCAGGTACTTCTAGGGCTAGACCTGCCTGGCAGCCACTATCTTGGATTAAACCTGCGTGGCCACCTTGCCAGTGTATCTCATTTGGTTGACAGCAGTATTATGAGGTGGAGCTGCAGAGATCAACACCATCATGGCCCTATCTCTTGGGCATCATGAGCACCCAGGGACATGTATGTACCACTGGTCATGATACATTATTACTGGTTACCTCTGTGCCTAGTCACTTCCACGTACACCAAGTTTGATTCACCGATTTTGATTTTGACTGATCTTTTTTCATTAAAGGTTTGTAGAAATACAATTTTGGGGGGTTTCTGTAATCTAGTGTGTGCTATACAAGCATGTGAGCACTGTGCAATGCAGTGAATGCTATGTGAGCTGTGTGTCGTGTATTGTTTAGACAATATTGTTACAGCACTAGTAAATCCACCAAGCAACATCACATTTCTCAACGCAAACATCCATTTTGGCTTAATCAAGTGTTACTATGCACAGTATACATTCATTTCCTAATATAGTTCAATAATAAAAACAAACTCACCATCATTAATGTTACGTACTAATCCAAATATAAAATTAAGGGAGGGAAGGAATCAGATTCCCCAATCCACCAGCAGTGCCAGTGTCTCTCTGATTCTGATCATGTCTTCCTTGAGCATGAGGACTGCTACCACCACCACCACCATTATTTGTAGTATGCAGCGGAAGGGATGCAATTGTGGCAAAAGGAATTCAAACTCAAAATTGTATTTTTTATTTTTTCAAATGAAGCGTGTTTTATTACATTCTTTAGGGACACTATAGTCATCTAATCAACTTTAGCCTAATGAAGCAGTTTTAGTGTATAGATCATGCTTCTCAGGTTTTACATCTCAATTCACTGCAATTTAGGAGTTAAATCACGTTGTTTCTGTTTATGCAGCCCTTGCCACACCTCCCCTGGCTATAATTGACACAGCCTGCATGGTTTCACTTTGTCAGATGTAATTTACCTTAAACAATTGTATCTCTTGCTCTGTAAATTGAAATTTATTCACATACAGGAGGCTCTTGCAGGGTCTAGCAAGCTATTAACATAGCAGGTGATAAGAAAATCTAAATTAAACAGAACTTGCAATAAAGAAAGGATAAACTTTAGATGACTGTTTACAGGAAGTGGTTAGGAAGGCTGTGCAAGTCACATGCAGGGAGTTGTGGCTAGGCTTCATAAACAAAGTGATTTAACTCCTATAGTGTCCCTTTAAACTATCTTTCTAATAATATTACATTTTTATGGCACTATACTAATGTTATTAGTAGTGATGTCCCGAACGGTTTGCCGAACGGTTCACCGCGGACTCATCATTGAGTAAACTTTGACCCTGTACCTCACAGTCAGCAGACACATTCCAGCCAATCAGCAGCAGATCCTCCCTCCCAGACCCTCCCACCTCCTGGACAGCTCACTAAGAATGCAGCTTCACAATGAATGTAAAATGGATGCTGCCAGGAGATGGGAGGGTCTGCTGCTGATTGGCTGGAATGTGTCTGCTGACTGTGAGGTACAGGGTCAAAGTTTACTCAATGATGAGTCCGTGGCGAACCGTTCGTGGTGAACCATTCGTGGCGAACCGTTCGGCGAACCGTTCGGGACATCACTAGTTATTAGCTATTAAACCTTAGAAATACAAATTTTCAAAAAGATTTCCCCAACTTTGCCCCCTAGTGTACATTAATAGTATAATTTTGACAACTCAAAATTGGCATATCATGCATACCTGATATTGCATAGGAAGTAAGCTACACAATATTGTTTCCATTTTTGCAATTTTCCCACATTTTTTGGCATGTCTAAATGTTTTCATAGATGTGTGTTCCATGGATGATGTTCAGTTGAGTCAAACTGTCACATAGTCGAGTGCTGGACGTCCTAAACATTTCAATTTCAGGATACTTTTTGAGGCCTAACCAAGCAACAGAGCCATGTACAAGTCTACTCATAAACAGAAATCCTTGATATTGGGAACAGCAGGAAATGAATATCAGATATTTGCACTCATTTGACCTCTGTTGGTTACAACTCATATTTATCACTTTAGAATTAAAGTTTATTCACTTTGTATGAATAACTTTACCACCCCTACTTGTGGAATCTAAGCATTACTACTGGTCATTAGCTTTTGTTGAATAAAGTCAGTGTGATTGGATATGGAACCCAAGACTATAAAGCAATGGTTCCCAACCTTTTTTCAATTGAGTACCCCTTGGCAACCCATATTCATAAATTGTACCCCTCCCATTACAAATGTTTGTAATTAATATAGTTGCATTTATTTCAAACATACATTTTTTCTCTGTCTCATATCCCCTTTTTATCTGCCCTAGGCTCACCCTGTTTCTCCTCTGCCCTAGGCTCCACCTGCTACTCCTCTGACACACACACACACACCTGCAGATACACAGATGCAAACACATGCAGATACACACACACACACACACACGTACAGATGTACAGACACAATTATACACAAACACACAGATACAAACACTGACACACATACAGATACAAACAGAATAAAACACTGACACACATGCAGATACACAGACATACACCCTGACACATATGCAGATACAGTGAAACATTGATACATACTCTGACACAGATACCCACACTGACACACAGACATGCAAATACATGTATGTCAGTGTATATGTGTGTCAGTATCTATATCGGTATGTCTGTGTGGGTATCTGTGTCTATAAGTGTGTCAGAGTGTGTATCTCTGTGTCATTGTGTGTATCTATGTGTGTCAGTGTATGTATATATGTGTCTCTGTATCTTAATTTGTGTCAAGTTGTGTATCTGTGTGTCAGGGTGTATGTGTTTCAGGGAGTATATCTGTATGTGTGTAAAGGTGTGTATCTGTATGTCTGTCAGGGTATGTATCCTTAAGTGTGTCTGTGTATTTATATATGTGTCTGTATCTGCATGTTTGTCATTATATGTATCTGTGTGTCAATGTGTGTCTCTGTGTATATGCATGTCTGTGTGTGTATCTGCATGTGTGTCAGGTTATGTATTAAGTATGTCAGTGTATGTACCTGACACACAGATGCACATCCTGACACAGATGCAGATACACTCACATATACACAGAGATACACACATTGACACACAGATACATATACTGACAAACATGAAGATACACAGACACATGTATACATACACTGACACACTTAAGGATACATACTCTGACATACAAAGATACACAGATACAAACAATGATACACATATACCTATCCTGACACACAGATACATAACCTGAGACATAGTTACACACATTGGCACACATGCAGATATCCAGAGATACACACCCTGACACACAGATACACACTGGCACACATACAGATACACAAACACATAGATACATACAATGACACACTTAAGGATACACACCCTGGCATACAGATACACACAGACACACACACACATACACAGAGATACACACACTGTGCTGTGTGTGATGGGTACTGTGGTCATGTGTGTGAGAGGTGCTTTGTGTGTGTGAGAAGTGCTCTGTCTGTGTGTGTGAGAGAGGTGTTCTGTGTGTGTACGGGAGGTGCTCTGTGTGTGTGTGTGAGAGAGAGGTTATGTGTGTGTGTGTGTGAGGTGCTTTGTTTGTAGGTGTGAGAGTGTTATGGACAAATGCAAATATTACAAGTGTTTGAGTGAAATATTGTATTCCTCAAACTGTGTACTTTGTCTTTAAGAGATATTGCAAACTGACAAGGTGTTAGAAATGGAACATATTGTTTTTCATAGATGTTTCTTTAAGCAATAACCTCTTACTTATCTTCAGTGCATATTATGTTTACGCCATTTTGTCCCAACTAGAGTTGAGCAGACACCTGGATGTTCGGGTCCGGCGGGTTCAACCGAACTTTGAAAAAAAGTCCGGGTTCGGGATCGAACTTGACCCCGAACCCGAACCCCATTGAAGTCAATGGGGACCCGAATTTTTGGGCACAAAAATGGCTTTAAAAAAGTCCTGGAAAGGGCTAGAGGGCTGCAAAAGGAAGTAAAATGGGGGTAAGAGTAGGACAAGTGCCCTGCAAACAAATATGGATAGGGAAATCACTTACAATAACATAAAATACATAAAATAAGCAGCCGCTTAGTAGATAACGCCCTAATTCTCACAGTATTAGGGAGCTATCTACCAAAAGGCTGAAAGACCTAAATTGGTCTTTCAGCTAAATTTACTAATACTAAGTAAAGATTACTTAGTATTAGTAAATTCAACTCCTACTCGCTATACCGAGTATATAAAAAAAAACGATTGCCAGTACCCCTGTGGTATGGGTGGGGGCCCTAAATAAGAATAGGGGGGACCTATTGCGCTGCGGGTGGGGGCCATAAATAACAATAGGGGGGGACCTACTGTCCTCGCCCCCTGGCCCCCACCCCTGCGCAGGATGGCTTAAACCCACCAATAAGAGTGCTCTGAGCCTAATTGCAGGGCGGGGCAAGTCTTTATAAGCCTTCCCCCACCCTGCAGAGCTCAGTCTGCGCAGAGCCCTCCATGGGTGAAAAAATATTTATTTATTTTTTGCGCTTTTTAAGTGCGTCGGTTATTATGGATTTTTATTTGGCCTTTTTTGGGGCTGAAAAAATAAGCGTTTAGAAGAAAGAAGACATCAAATGGCAAGTCTACTTTTTTTTTTTTTACAGGTATTTAGATAAGGGTCCCCCCTCATTATTTTTAGGGGTTATTTTTTGGGCGGGAGGGGGTGACTAGGGGTTTAGGGACAGTAGGTCCCCCCCCTTTATTGTTATTTAGGGCCCCCACCCGCCGCGCAGGAAAAACCATACGAAAGGTTTACACTCCTAGCAGTCGAACTGGAACAGCATACAATAAATCCCCCCTCCAAGAACAAGACAAGGCTCCGTGTTGAGGGTCAAGCAGCAACAGAACTGTGGGTTTATTGTTCTTATATACACATTTTACAGACAAAGTCCCACC